TCTCAGAACTGATATTTAAATAAATTCGCTTTCCTAGAACTTAGGGAGGGAAGGCTTGGGGGCATCACAGGCTCATGCATCACAGGGCCCAGAGTAGCCAGGAGCAGGGTGAGCATCCGTCAGGAGCAGGGTGAGCATCCGTCAGGAGCAGGGTGAGCGCCATCAGGAGCAGGGTGAGCGCCCATCAGGAGCAGGGTGAGCACCAGTCAGGAGCAGGGTGAGCGTCCGTCAGGAGCAGGGTGAGCGTCCGTCAGGAGCAGGGTGAGCGCCCGTCAGGAGCAGGGTGAGCGTCCGTCAGGAGCAGGGTGAGCATCCGTCTGCGTCCTCCAGCAGTACAGGGCCCTGCAGGGACACAGAGCAAAGTAAAAGGAGCCTCCTCAGAGAATGGGTGTGTCCAGAGACTCCCGCTGCCAACTCAGGTATGACTGTTCTCATGGCAGTTTGAAGAACACTCTGATTAGTACTCAGAGAAACAATAATGGATGGTGGGAAGAGAGAAATGTGTGGGCTGTGTTGGATTAAAGCATTCCCCCTGCCGCCAAGTAGCCAACGTGAAATGGATGAGCCAGTGAGAGGTACTAGCTGTTGGCATGGGGGAGTTGGTTCGAGATAACTCCCACTTAACGTGTTAGGTTCTGCTTCCCAGCCTTGCTTACGGTGAGTAATCGTGATTCAGTGTTAAACAAATGAGCAATTCATTAATTGAGTACACATAATTCATTAATTGGGTGGTTGCAACTTTTTAGTTGTGTTTGGAACGAGAGAGAGAGAGAGAGAGAGAGAGAGAGAGAGAGAGAGAGAGAGAGAGAGAAAGAGAGAGAGAGAGATGAATGTAATTAAGCTTTGGGGAGATTGGTGTGTAGTCCCCATAGTCATCACAATAATAATCATCTATTCAATGAGTAAATAGACAAGTTACTGCCCCAAGAAGCCATCCTAGTGGTGTGGTGGTTTGCTCGAGAAATGTCCCCTCTAGGCTCCTGTACTTGGAGACTGAATTTCTGTTGGTGCTGCTGCTTGGAGAGGTGGAACCTGAGGAAGCAAGCGTTGCGGGAGGAAGCGCTTGGCTGTGGGCGGGCTTTGAGGGTTTATGGCTACCCCCATTTCCAGTTCACTCTGTGCTTCCTGTGTGCAGTTGAGATGTGTGTTCTCAGCTTCCTGTTCCGGCCACTGTGCATGTCCTGCCATCATGGACATCTGGTCCTTGGGGACTTTAAGCCAAAGAAAACCCTTCTGTAAGTTGCCTTAGTCGTGGTGTTTTATTCAGCAACAGAAAAGTTGCTAATACAGTAATTCTCTCTTTGGTTCTAATTTGTATCTTATTGATGATTTTTAAGCAGCTGACTTGGGTTTCTAGTGCTATGAAGAGATACCATGACCACAGTAACTCATATAAAGGAAAACATTTAATTGGGGGCTGGCTTACAGTTCAGAGGCTCGGTCCATTATCGTCATGGCGGGCAGTGTGGCGGCGTGCAGGCTGACACGGTGCTGGAGAAGGAGCTGAGAGTCCTGTGTCTCGATCTGCAGGCAGCAGGAGGAGATTGTGTGCCACAGTAGGCTGAGCATGTGAGACCTCACACCCGCCCCCACAGTGACACACCTACCAACAGCGCCACTCCCTGTGGGTCAGGTAGTCGAGCACGCGAGTCTGTGGGGCCACTCCTGCCCACGCCACCACAGCGCCCATCCGTGTGCCTTGTCACGGCTCCCTTTGATCTGTTCTTCACCGCTGCTTTAAAAGTCAGGCTCATTTTGTTGTTGCTTAAAATTATTTTGTTTATGTTTAAATTAAAAACTTGAGAGTTCATTGCATGCTAGAGTCAGGTGTATTTTCCTAGTTGTAATTAACAAATCCTGTCTGCAGCTCTCTTTTTACTTAGAGAGTTGTTTTTAATTTTGATGGTCTATTTTATTATGTTTCTTTTTTAGTTATGACTTGTACTTTTTTGTGGTATCTGATGAATCTTGGCATAATCCCAAGGTTACCAAGGCTTTTTAAACTTTTTTTTTCTAGAAATTTAATAGTTTGGTTTCAGTCTGTTCCATTTTTGAGCTAGTTTTCCTGTGTGGCACCCGAGTGTGGGACAAAGCGTTCTTTTCCAGGAACACTTCCCACTGCTTGTTGGGAAGACTCCTCACCTGCGCTGTCTGTGTGGGTCTGTCTGCTCGTGCTGTCTGTGTGTGTACTCACACTGTGTGTGTGTGTGTACTCACACTGTCTGTGTGTCTGTGCACTCACACTGTCTGTGTGTCTGTGTACTCACACTGTCTGTGTGTCTGTGTACTCACACTGTCTGTGTGTGTCTGTGTACTCACACTGTCTGTGTGTCTGTGTACTCACACTGTCTGTGTGTCTGTGTACTCACACTGTCTGTGTGTCTGTGTACTCACACTGTCTGTGTGTGTGTGTGTACTCACACTGTCTGTGTGCTGTGTACTCACACTGTCTGTGTCTGTGTACTCACACTGTCTGTGTCTGTGTACTCACACTGTGTGTGTGTCTGTGTACTCACACTGTGTGTGTGTGTCTGTGTACTCACACTGTGTGTGTGTCTGTGTACTCACACTGTGTGTGTCTGTGTACTCACACTGTGTGTGTCTGTGTACTCACACTGTGTGTGTGTCTGTGTACTCACACTGTCTGTGTGTCTGTGTACTCACACTGTGTGTGTGTCTGTGTACTCACACTGTCTGTGTGTGTCTGTGTACTCACACTGTGTGTGTGTCTGTGTACTCACACTGTCTGTGTGTCTGTGTACTCACACTGTGTGTGTGTCTGTGTACTCACACTGTGTGTGTGTCTGTGTACTCACACTGTCTGTGTGTCTGTGTACTCACACTGTCTGTGTGTCTGTGTACTCACACTGTGTGTGTGTCTGTGTACTCACACTGTGTGTGTGTCTGTGTACTCACACTGTGTGTGTCTGTGTACTCACACTGTCTGTGTGTCTGTGTACTCACACTGTCTGTGTGTCTGTGTACTCACACTGTCTGTGTGTCTGTGTACTCACACTGTCTGTGTGTCTGTGTACTCACACTGTGTGTGTGTGTCTGTGTACTCACACTGTCTGTGTGTCTGTGTACTCACACTGTGTGTGTGTCTGTGTACTCACACTGTCTGTGTGTCTGCGTACTCACACTGTCTGTGTGTCTGTGTACTCACACTGTGTGTGTGTGTGTACTCACACTGTGTGTGTCTGTGTACTCACACTGTGTGTGTGTCTGTGTACTCACACTGTGTGTCTGTGTACTCCTGCTGTCTGTGTGTCTGTCTGCTCACGCTGTCTGCATCACCATTGCCTTTTAAGTCTTGGAACAGGTGATGATTTTATCACCTCATTATAATCAAAGTTGTTTGGCTGTTGTACATTCTGTGTATTTCTACATGAACTTGAGAATTTGTTGGTATTTTGATTGAGTTGTCGGAACTGAAAGTCAGATTGGAGAGAATGGACATCTAAATAATTGAAAAATTCTTACCCATTGTCAGTCTAAATAGCAGAAAGGTACCCCAAAGAATAACCTTTATTACTAGCATGTATTAATTATACGTAGTAATGGGTTTCACTGCGGCATTTTCACGTGCTTGATGTATTTTGATCACGTTGTCTCCCGTCGCCCTTTCCTGTTCTCCTCCCTCCCTTGCTCTCTCTCTTTTCTTCACTCTTAGTCCCTTTCGATGTTCACGTCTTTTCCTCGTTTGTTGGTTTGTGAGTCATCAGGTTGCTTACGGGAACATGGCCGAGGGCTTGTTTGCAGGTACATAAGTCTGTATAACCTACACAAGAGCCCACACAGCACCTTCCTGCACTGCAGAGCAAGGGCTGCCTGACGGAGGACGCTTCCTGCCTAGTACTGTTTTAAAGGCGTGAGATGGGCAGTCTGGGCAGAGGGGCCACTCTGGCAGCGACACAACCTTGATCAGGAGGCAAGCCGTGAGCGAGCAGTGGGGGGCCGTGCCGGGCGTGGACCAGGTGAGGCTGCTCTGAGGGAGGTGGTCAGGAGACTCAGAAGTGGGCCCAGCTGTGGGGTTTGGGCGAGAGGAGCCTTGAGGACAGAACCTCAGATGGGACTGTGCTTGAGACTCCCGAGGGCGAGAAAGATCATCTCACCCAGCTAGAACATTCCCAAAGCTTCCGAGTGCTCTGCCGGCTGCCTTTAGCATGCCATCGAAATCAAACAGTGCAGAGGTGACCTGAGCCCTGCCCCTGACCTATTGGAGCTCTTGAGCTCCTCGCTGGCCTGAATTCACTCTACAGAGCCGTGGCTTTGAACCTGAAGTAGCCACTCTCCCTTTGCACCTGGAGTGCTGGGTTTCAGGTGTCACCACTGCCCCTGGCTACTTCTGAGTGTGGACAGCAGGGTGGGCATGGGACAGTCCTTTGTATCATTGTCCAGCAGGGAACTAATAAAGTTTTGGACCGTAACTGTCTATAATGCCATTTATGTCAGTCAGATGAATAATTAATGTCACATTCATTGTCTTACTGAAGGGCCATGCCATTTGCCTTGTGTGCCTTGTCGGTTCGTGTTCCTACAGGGTAGTTCCACGTAGGTCCTTGTCTTTACTGTGGGACATGGCTGGCTGACTAATGGTCTGTACTGTTCCTATTGGGGGCACTGAGTCACAGGGAAAGTTCTTTGGAAAATTAGAAGACCTCCTAATGTTTCATAAAAAGAATCAGTAGGTGATTTAGAATTCCATTCTCGCTGACAGGCTAGAAAATTCTGAGTATGTAACTTCACCATTATTTTGTACTATGCCCTGCTGTGGCTGATGTCACAATGCCTTTTTGCTGCCGTAAAGGTGGGTTAGGATCGTTTCCACAGGGACGTAATGAGAAACCCAGTCTGGAAGGAGACTGGGCCCGCCCGCTGCGGCTGCACGTGAGTGTGTGAGCGGTGAGCTCGCTCTGGGAAGAGAAATCTCCACTGACAGAAGTAGCAGGACTGTTACATTCAGGGGCGGAAACTCACCCATTTCTGTCTTGTTGCAGGTATTTCCTGGTGGATTTTTATGCCCCCACAAGTGCTGTGGACAGCATACTGGATCACTTGACTCGAGACGTCGATGTGGTTAGACCAAATGTCGTGAAGCACCCTCTGACCCAGGAAGTAAGAGAGTGTGCTGGCATCATCCCAGTCCCACTGGAAGAAAAGCTGTATTCAACAAAGAAGAGGAAGAAATAAGACGGCTTCCCAGAGTCGCACCAAGGCTGCCGAGGCGTTATTTGCTTTAGCCCATGATCCTCCCGCTGCGGGGGGTGGGAGCCGCTCGCCAAGGCCTGCCCTGCCGTCTCCAGTGCCTGCAGACCGATGTTGGGTCCGTCGGCCTCGTGTGATTGTCAGTGAGGTTTTACCACTGCAGCATTTGGGAGAGCAAATTGTCAGCTTGGTTGTCTTGCAGAACTGTGTGGAAAACAGAGCAGAGTAATAAACGTGACTTCACCAGTCTGAGTTGTGTATGGCCCCCCCCCGCCCCAGCCCGGTGTACCCCAAAGCTAGCAGCTGCAGTTGTGCGGGGGCACTCTGAAGTTTGGGATCTGGTGAGTCGGATCCTGGACCACAGACAGCCTACAGAATTGTTGCTTCCCCCTGGCCACATAGCAGCAGCCTTTGAGGAAGCAGTCGGCATCAATCAGCATTGCTTCCTGCCGTCCCCTCGCCACTGGCCTCTACCTCTGCCCCTGTCCCTTGGCCCTTTTGAAGAAGGCAGAGGGGTGGTGTCCATTAGATACACATAGGCTTTTCCCTGGAGTAATAGTCCCTAGGAGCTCATCGTTGGCTCCCCTGGAGCTGGTGGAATGAGCAGTCCTTTAGTCTTCTCAGATGGTGCCTGCATAGGGTCCCCTGTCCTCACAGGCGACGAAACTCCTCTGGTGGGAGGTACCCATCACCTGGGCTGCCTTACAGCATCAGGTTGTCTCGCAGCAGGAAGGGGAAGGACGAGGGACACAGACCTGTACGTGTGACCCACAGTGCTGCTGTCGTGTGCAAAGCTGGCTGTCTCTGCACTGACCATTAGTCTGTCACTGCTCCTGTCCCGCGAGCCCAGACAGCACCTGCTTCAACTTCTCCCAAGTAAAAATTATGAAACGTTTTTCTGGAGAGCAGTCAATGAGGCCAGAGAGATGACTCTGAGGCTGCTCTTCTGGAGGAGCCGGATTCAATTCCCAGCACCCTCGTGCGTAGCAGCCCCCAGCCGCCTGTGGCTCTAGTCCGGGGGGTCCCCTCTTCTGTCCTCAGTGGGCACTGCGTGCAGATGTCACACGGGCACCTGCAGGCCAAACACCCATGCACACAAAGACAAATCTCACAGTTTTAAACAATGTGTCAGTTAAGAGGTTCAGACCTGGAGACTGGGGATAAAAGCAGTAGGGCAGAGGTTACCCACGGAAGACCTACTGCCTCCTGTTCACTATGAATTCCCTGGGACCGCCGGCCTTTGGCAGGACTCACGGGAGCCCACGTCCCTCCACTGCGCGCCTTGCGTCCCGCGTGCTTTTCCGTGGGTGTGGTGTCTACAGCTGATGAAGCCCGTGTCGTGCGCCACGTGCATGTGTTGTCTGCTAACCTCATTTAATCTCAGCCTTTTGAGGGAGCACTGTCCCCCACGCTTTTGGGTGAAGAAGCTCGACATGGGTCCCACCTTAACCCCAGTTACCACATGATAGCCGGGACCTCCAACGGGGGACTCTGATATTCCTTGGTTCCTCTCTGCCTTGCAGTGTCGATACTGACTTTGTCTCTGAAGTTGAAAGAGGTTCACAGTGTCTGGGGAAAATGGTTGCTGAGGGCCTAGCATCTGTTCTCGTGACCCAAGCGTGGCGCTAACCCTGAGGAGACAGCTGTCATTCATCATTGGGCATTCCAGGTCATCAGAGTATTGAGAGCCCCTGTGGCACAGTTTGGGTGTTAGGAAGGGGGCGGCTGAGTGGAACCCAGTATCAACACTGCTACCTCCCATGTGAACGCTTGAAGTTCAAGTCACTCATTGCTGAATGGGGATACACAGTGGCTTACTGCAGCTTCTGCCTGGGTGTGCCTGGTGGTGGAGCCCATGGCAGCCATTTCCAGGCTGTGCGTTTTCTGTCAGAGGTAAACGTCCAGTCGTCCTTGGCTGGTGACAGTCTGAGGAACTGTTCCAGTTCTCTGCTGCCTTAGTGAACGTTAAGCTTGAGCTTAGCAATGAGCAAGACAGCTGCTAACTAGCTGGCTAGGTATCCAGAAGGTACCAAACGGAAAAGTCCCCCCACCAATGGCAGCTGCAGAGCGTGTGAGAGAGAGGGCCTGAAAGCGAGGGTACCAGCAGGGATACCCAAGACCCTGAGCGGGAGAACAGTGCATGGAGGGAAGCAGCATGATGAGACCTCAAGGGGCTAGAGTTGGAAGTCTGGAGAATTCTGGGAAATAAACTCGAGAAGTCAGGGACCTGAGCTCCAGAAGCCCAATAGCTTGGGCCTTAAGGCTTTAGCTCCCTGTGGATTCACATCCTTCCAAAGGATATGTTAGATTTGTAATCTTGACTATCTGGTCTACCTTGGACAGTGTCATCTTAAACTGACACTCTTAGCTTAACTCAATCCGTGATTCTTGGACTCAGCAAAGGACTTTCTCCTCGACAGTTAAGTCCATAGGCTTAGGTGGCCCAGGGCGGGCAGAAGTCACCCAATGGGCGCCACCATAATAAACAAATACTCAACGGAGAGGTTAGAGAGAGAAGAACAGCAGTGTATGCACTAGGGAGAGAGGCAGAACGGGACATGTGATGTCGGTGAAAGGTGAAAACGCTGTCATTGCCCAGGAGGGTCAGCAGGATGATGTACAGCAGCCCGGAGCTTATGTAGACGCAGACTCAGCCCCTGAACTAGTTGCCCAACCTCGGGATCCCCCCTGGCTCTGGGTAACAGTGGAGGTCCCAGGTGGGGAAATGTTCCCGTTCTGGATTTGACCGCCTTGAAGAACCACCATGGTCCTGTGATGGTACCAGAGGCCGTGTAGTTGCCTGTGGTCCATGACGGAGCCCCGGTGACTTGGGAATGCCGTCGGGATTTGCTGCCTCGGGTAGCCATGCTGATGTGAGTGGCACGTGTAGCCATCTGGGACCATGTTGCGGCTCATGCGGCCTCTGAGGGACAACAGTGGGTCAATGGTCTTGATGTGATCAAGGATGGCGTCCATGTCTGTAACCTCTGTTACCACCACCAAAGCCCAAGAGGGTATGTGTAGGGGTAAACTTAGGACCGTGGTGATCTAGAGACGCATACGGATGTGGTAACGAAAGGGTGGAACTGCGCCACTGACCACACCCACTTTGGGCGTGACTAGAGACAGGGCGGAGAACTACGCCGCTAGCCAGGCCCACTTTTGGGCGTGGCCAGAGGCGTGTACGGAGGATGAAATAAAAGACCAAGCAGCACAGCCTCTCGCCCTCTTTTCGGCTTCCGGTTCGGTAGCAAGAGCTTCTTGCCTCTTCTGGGTGGCCCGTTTTCTCTTGTAAGTAATTTCTGCAATAAACAGTACCTACACCCTCACCGACGTGCCGTTTATCGTTACAGGTCAGGTATGTATGGTCAGGGGTGCTGCCTGAAGCCAAGTTAATGTCCCTGGGCACAGGAGAACTGGGCCTGCCCCGGGCTGGCCCACAGCACAGCATTGCGGTGCATGCAGGTGGTGGTGTGGACACGGGAGAGCTAGCCACTCCCCGCTCTGGCCGATGCGTGGCTCCCCCTCGGTTGATGGCTTCTGATATGGACGCAGGAGGAGGAAGACTCACCCTCCCTCGGGCTGGCCACTGGGAACTTGACCATGCTCCAGTGAATGTATGGACAACACAAAAGGGGTTCCCCCCTCCCCCTTTTGTGTGTATGGGAGGAGGTCATGGGGGAGAGGGTAGATAGGGAAGACATGGGGCACATGATGTGAGGTTCCTGAACAATCAATAATAGCGGTTAAGAAGCCTTTAATGAACGACACCCTTAAAAGAAACATCTAGAGAGTAGACTGGCCAAGCGACGCTTCTCCTCACAGCCCTCTCAACTTCCCAGGGTCCAAAGTTCCTCTTCTGCTTCACCCCACCATCTCCTACCAGAGGAGGCCTCGAGTCCTTGTAATAGCAACGCTTTGTCGGTGGTCCGTGGGTACAGACTGTGGCTCAGTCCTGTGGAGAGCCAGGGCGTGAGGTAGCCCTTGGGAAGACGTCCTCAACACATTCACAAGTTGACAGCTGGTCCAGCGATGCCCCTGTTGCGGGCATCCACAGAGAACTACATGTTAGAGATGGAGTGTTTAAAGCCTTAAAGTGTGTTTCCCTGCCTCTGGGTCTACCTGACGGTGTTAAGAGTCCGGTGCAGGCCTAGCGCATCTGAGGTCTGTGTGTCCAGCCAGAGCTCAGTGTGAACGTTGTTCATTTACCCTCTTCCTAACGGTGGGGTCAGTCTTCCGGTGCTGCATAGAAGGCACCAGGCTCAGAGAAAATACCCTCATCTCAAGCCACAGGGGAGGAGTTAGATTGGGAGCCTGTCCACCTGGTTCCCAACGTCATTTTTGGCTTGATACACCCTTCTGGAGGCAGACCCTGCTGGCCTGCAGCCCAGGGCTCCTGCGTGGGTGACCTCTCGGGGGCCCTTCCTGCCCTACAGTTAGACTGGGGCCCCAGGCTCCTCACTGGGAGTGGAGCTGGGTCTCCTTGGGGGAATTTTTTTCATTGCAGGTCTTCAAAGGGAGCTCATGGGTTTCCTGGAGCCCAGGCCTCTTTTTTGCAAGCATCTTGGCACCACCAAGCTTTCTTCTTGGCACATTTACCCCGGGGGTGTGTTTGCATTGCACCCAGCGGGCACTGTATGCATTGGGCAGTGCTACCCACCGACCTCCAGGCTCTCACAGGTAGCAGAGGAAGTGGAATTCGCTCTGTAAGCCGCAGGTCGTAATGAAAAACGATAGTTGTGATCCAAACCAAGCACGGTGTAAATGGGGAGTGGCCCCGGAAGTTTGCTAGCAGCGCTGGCATTTCGCTTGGCACAGGGACAACCGGCAAGGGTGGAGCACTGGTCAGCGAGACAGGGAGGCGTGTGTTTCGGGGGGGGGGGCTCCCAGAACAGGTGAGTGTGGTGTGATAGATGGAACTCATTGTGTTGGCGCCAAGGGCTGGGAAGTCTAAGAGTCCAGGCCACTGCAGGGGAGGCTGGGAAGTCTTAGAGTCCAGACCTCTGCAGCGTGGATCTCCTGTGGCCCCAAGGGGTTCCTACAGGATCGTTTGGAATAGCCAAGAGGCAAGGCTGTGTTTACTGGCTCGTGTAAGATGTGCCCTCTGAAGCCGGGCATTGGTGGTGCACGCCTTTAATCCCAGCACTCGGGAGGCAGAGGCAGGCAGATCTCTGTGAGTTCAAGGCCGGCCTGGTCTACAGAGCGAGTTCCAGGTCAGCCTCCAAAACAATACAGAGAAACCGTAT